AGAACACCATTTTCAGTTGTCTGGAACTTTTTTCTGCTTAAACATATTTGATTGAAATGTTCACTGACCTTAAATAGTAACGTAGAGAGGATGAACGCCATTCGATATCCTATAAGCCAACATTAATTCCTAGCTCATGGCTTCCTTGTTGCTATTATGAAATAGATTGTGGTGCACTCAATGTGCAGGACACTATATACCACAACTATGCCAAGCAATTGTAAGGCACAACCATAAAAAGGAAGAAGAAGAATCTATCAATCTGAAGGGTTTCATGGTATTGGGTTTCTCCCCTTGATATTACAGATAAGAAGATCACATTGCTCATTTGACAAAATTAAACAGGTAGTATACCCTTTTAATGCAGGTTGGAAATGCTCTAATAGATGATTTTTACGACCAATTGGGACGCTTCCAGTATTTGTGGTCAGTTGGTATGATATCTGATCAGACCTTCAAGGAGTTGAACATTTTATGCGACTCTGGATCGTTTTTACACACCTCAGAGCAGTGTGATGAAGTTCTTGATATATCTCTTGAAGAAATGGGAGACATTGATATTTATAGTATCTTCTCTCCTCCATGCACAGTCAAATTTAATAGATTTAATCATCTATTAAAAAGAAAGGAAGTAAGTATTTAAATCTTTAATAATCTCTTTTCAATGTCTCTAAGATTTTGTCTGTTGATTGAATTTAAATTCGTTAAATGTATAAGGAGAAATGAGAATCAGTAAATCACTGCATATAGTTAATGTGTACAAGAGGTCAAACCGTCCCTGGTTGAGTTTGTTTACATATTTTCTCTCTTCTAGTGATCGGTCTCTCTCTCTCTCTCCATCATATTTGAAGTAGGCTAACTTTATGCAGTAATCTTAAATTCTTTTAGGATGAGTAATGGAATTAAATTTTTCCAAATAGAAGGTTGGTCTTATTAAGAGAGCATATGATCCTTGCACTTTGCAGCACTCGGTTATCTACTACTATCTTCCTGAGGTCAAACAGTCGCTGGTTGAGCTCATTTAGATATTTGCTTTGATAAACTATTCCTGTGCTCAATTTTTGATCTCCTAGAAGAGTTCTTCATGTTCATCCACCTCTCTCTCTCTCTCTCTCTTGCTTCATCATTTTTGTTTTATAGGCTATGCAGTAATGTTCGTTATATATTATCTTTGGATGACTAACGGAATCAAATGTTCCGTGATAGAAGGTTGGTCTTATCAAAAGATCATACGATCCTTGCACTTTGCAGCACTCAGTTACTTACTTCAATCTTCCTGAGGTTCAAAATGCTCTCCATGTTCATAGCAAAAATTCCTCATCCAAATGGGATGCCTGCAGGTAAATTCTTGTTTTGGATGGGAGGCAAAAGGATTTTTGGAGTCTTATTCTCATTACCACTCATTTCTTCGTAATTTTTTGAAATGATAATTTAATCGTATATGCCCTTTCTTTCTGAGTGATGATAACCCTTCAGTTATAGTTGTTTTATGGCATCATTTGCTTGTGCAATTGTGTATTCTAACGAGAACTTAAATCAACCCAATTAAAGTTATTAACTATAATTGTGATATGCTACAAAAATAAAAAAATAGTGCTGGAAAATGGAAAGTGATCATTAAGCACTGTAATTGAAACAAACTATATAAGCGTTGCGATGTCTATCAACTGACCTAGAAATATAAATAAAAATATTGTTTCGTCCTTTTAATTTTCCTTTTCCTCATGACATTTTACATTGTTGAGATTACTTTTCAACTACATAACAAAATTTAGAAGTACCTCGAGGGTGAAATTTAGGCTTTAGTTACACAGAAACAGTTGTTTTAGCTTTGGACCTCTAAACAAATAAACAAGCACGAAAACTTCTGAAAATCCAAAGAGAAAAACTAGGCGTCAAAGAGAAAAACTAGGCGTCTTTAACCACTGTTTTGTACATTTTAGGGATGGAATAACCTTGAACTCAATGGGATGTAGTATGGTGATTCAGTTGGAGTAAGGTCTCAAGAGAGCCTGGATGCTTTTATCATCCCAAGTCAATAATATTCTCTAACTATAGTAGTTCATTGTATATTGCTTTTGGCTATTTCCAAGATAATTGATATTTACAACTGGATGTTAATGCATTTCTTGATTGATAAATGTTACAAATCAATATTCACATAATCACATCTTTGCAGTGACGTGGTGAACAAAAATTGGAAGGATTCTGGTACTTCTGTTTTGAACATCTACCGCGAGCTTATACATTTTGGACTTCGTATTTGGATCTTCAGGTTTCCACCTGTTCCCATCTCAATCTTTCTTTGTTCACTTTACATGACGTAGGCTACTGCAATAGTGGAAAAAGTACAAAGCAATAATGCGATAATATCAAACGTGCAACCTGGGAAACAGAATTAGTTTCTATCAGTTGACATTATCAAGCTTCTGCAAGTGATGCCTTAGTCAAGTGGTAGAATGGCACTTGGATTGGGAGACATTGATTCAAGCTACGTTAGTCGTATCAATAGACTGTTCTTTGTCCCATTTTTTATGGTTTTCTTTTGAATAATTCGTTAAAAAATTTCCTAAGTTTGGTATACATTATGGAAGGGGGACCTTTATCTTAACCTCTCTTAGCATAAAATTCACAATGCTGTTTAAGTTTAAATTTAAAACATTAAATGTATCCCCTTTCTAATAGCTAAAGCTTTTAGAGGGGGTGGATTAACATGGTAACATAGCCAAGAAAAGTGCACGGTTTAGGTCACATTGCCACCCATTTGCGAAAATCGTGCACAAATGCCATCCTGCACATGAGGAGGCTTGTTCAAGATTAAATTTATATATAAATAAACGTGGCCTCTGAAGAAACTTAAGCTTTTAGATGAGGCGGTTCATGATTATTATAAAGGTTACTGAACAGTAGGAGTGTCTAGAGGTTGTTACTCATTTATTTCGTTTGTTGATATTTTGTGATTTATAATTTGTTTGAATAAATCAACGGATCATTCCCATTTTGTTCCAAGTAACGTAGATAAAAGTGTTATATAACAATCTTTGTAATCGTTTTTTTTTTTTTTTTACTTTTTCGACAGTGGGGATGCTGATGCTGTAGTTCCAGTTACATCCACACGTTACTGTATAGATGCTCTAGAACTTCCAACGATTAGTCCTTGGAGTGCTTGGTACGACGATGGCCAGGTTTTTTTGCTCCCTATCATCTATCTGATTTTACACACTCATCTATTTTTCAAAAACTAATATGAATCGAACTTGATTGCTTTATCGACTGAGGAACATGTGTTCATAATACCACTGCAAAATAGAAAATCATTGGCCACCAAATTATTGAATTTTATCTCATTGTAATGGTATGTAACAGGTAGGAGGATGGACACAAGAGTACCAAGGACTAACTTTTGTGGTAGTGAGAGGGGCAGGCCATGAAGTTCCCCTGCATAAACCCAAGCAAGCCTTAACACTTATCAAGTCTTTCTTATCAGGAACTTCTATGCCAAAACTGGAAAAAGTTACTGATACATAATCCTCTTCCCTGTTTGTGCATTGGGAGGAAAGGTAGCTGATAATTATGGGAATTAAATGGTGTCATTACCACTAAGATTTGTCGGTTTCGAGTTTCCTTCCCACTCCTTGCATTTCATTAGATATTTAATTGGGAAATGTATCTATTTTCTTTTTTATTGTGTCGTGAAAGGATTCAAATGTTCTGAGTTTTCTCTTTATGGAAAATATTTTTAGAGGTAAAGCAAACTGTCGATTTCTGTCTTGCATTTCATTTCAATTTTTGACTAATGCCACTCCACCTGCCTTTGCAATATCTTGACTAAGGGTCGGCGTGGTTCCAAATATTCGGTTTATAATAAAATCGGAATCGAAACTCATTTTTTATTACACATTATTCCAATTAAATATTTTACACATGAATATAAATTTTTTCCCTACTTTCTTAATCGCACATTTTTGAAAAAATTATTATTACAAAATATATTTTTCCAAAACAAAATGGAGCTCAAACAATTCCACGTTAAATGAGAAAAATTATCTCCTCTCTTCAAGCAAGTCCCCAAACATGCTCTAGATGAGTATGTAAATACTTTGTCTTGTAATCGTTTGGGAATATTTTATAAACGATTTAATTTATAAATAATAGATAAAAATGAATTATTGAAAAGAAGATAGTACTTAAATATATTAAAATATTTGGTAAAAATGATGTTTGAACATTTATAAATAATTTATAAATGATTCATAAATCAAAAGGAACCTAAGTCGAAATTCTATCAACTTTCTTGAAATTACTATAGTGTCAGTAATTAAGCTATCGTTTGGAGAATTTTATAAATTATTTCATTTTCAATCACACATTTAAACGGATTCAATACTACTATTCACTTAATTTTGCTCTAGTTATGATCCTACACTTTTTAATAAAATAATATTACACGTAATCTCAAATTTTTTTCTTATTTTTTAATCGCATATTCTTTATCATTCGACTATTTCAAAATCCATTTTTACAATAAAATGGAGTTTTAACATGCTCTAAGGCTATGTTTGATTGGCCAATTTTTTCCATGGAAAATGGAATCCAAATTCAATTTCCCACTTTTAACTTGTTTGATGGCTAAAAAAATGATCACTTTAATGAACAATTTCCATGAAAAACGAAGCCAAACGAATACCAAACTTTCAACATTTTCTAGGAGGAAAATTATACCAATCAAACACAATTAATAACAATTCCCAGTAAAATAAATTTTAGACAATTTAATTCCCTATAATTCATTTTCTTTCCACCCAAATTCCACATTTGCAATCAAACGGACCCATAATGTTTTTAATGGCAAACATGGACTTGAGAATAATGAGAACGTAAACTAACACTAAAATAAAAATAAAAAGACATGTAAAATGCACCTGGTAAATCAATTTATGGGTGTTGTTGAAAGGATAAAAATCTTGTTT